TTTTAAAAATTATTTAAGAAAATAATATCACTTCTTGTTTGTTTTATAAAAAAAAAGAAGTAGATTTTATTACATAATTAGCATATTGTAAAGATTATAGGTACAGTTAATTAGTCAAAATGAGGCACAAATCATGGGATTGTTTTTATTATTACTCTCGTTCCTCTCATCTTTTATCCTAAATTTTATGTCATAATTCATCTTATCTACAATGTTTTTTTTTTAAAAAAAAAAAAAAAATTCTTTTTCCTTTGACACCATACTTTCCGATCAAATCTTTGGATTAAGCATACAATACTTCTTCGATCTAAAATGGGTTTCAACCAGCAGAAACCTCCTCTCCGTCAACTACTTTGAAATATCTCTTACCAACTTTACATTTTTAATTTATTACCAATTTAACTATACTTGATATATTTCAATTAATATTATTGTTATTTATGAGATTATACAAGATTTATATTGTGTAAGATCCACATATATACAGTATATTTTTTCTATGAAATACATTCTATATTCTTTAGAATATACAGGTTTATACTGTTTAAATTACATATCTTTTTTTATTTAAAAATAAACAGGATGATATACTATTTCAATATGCAACTGTTAAATACAAAATATGTCAACGTATATTGGATATCACATATATTAGTATACAAGATATAGACAAAAAATAAGATATAAGTATCGTATCAAATTATCCATTCAATATACGGAATTATATATTAATTTTCTTAAAATACATTTATCTTTTTTAATTATATTTTATTTGTAAAGCATATTTGGAAGATAGTCTTTTGAGCTAAGAAATAGGAAAGAAAAGATTGAAGTTGTTAAATACGTGACTTTCCCCTTTAATTTAGGAATCTATTATGGTGCTGTTAATATTAGTTGCCATAATAAATTCCTAACAGCCGAGAATGATATTAACTTACAGCCATTTTTGTTAATTGTGGTTTAGTGCTATGATTATGTTAAATTTTTTAAATAGTGCCTACTTATGATTTTCCCCGAGACATAGAAATTTTGTGGAACACCCACTTTATACAATAGTGTTTAACTTGTTGTCACTTAACAAAATATTTTGCAACTGTAGCCGCTTTGCTTTAAACAAAAATTTAATAAAGCTGGAGCATCCATACCCAAAAGAGATGATCACAAAATACGAAATTTTCATTCGCATTCGTGCCGGCGCATATTTCGGTACCAATAAATTCACTAGAGATCGAACTATGTTATCATTGTGGTAAAAGAAATCCACGATAAAGAATTGCAAGAATGTTTGTTTTTTCTTCACAATAACTTGTTGAAGAAATTTATAAATTTAGGAGTGTTGAAATTAGGGAATACTGCTTTAATGGGAGAATTTTTTGATTTCTGGTTGTTGCTTCTAAGACTTGGGAATAATCAGTTTTATGGGTTGATTTTAGAGAGCTATAGCACGAAATGGTTCCATTCTAAGAACTGGATTTTAGTAGCCATAGGTTTTCCGGTTGGAAAATCGATATCAGTTTGTTGAGTATTTGCATTTCAAGCCTTACTTCAGATAATTTTCAGGCTTAACTTCGGATCCAAATGTCTGAAGTTGAAAACGAATCCTAATTAACTTCAAATCCAAATGTTTGAAGTTGAAAACTTCGAATCCTAATTAACTTCAAATCCCAAATGTCTAAAGTTGGAAATTTCCAAATGTGTGAAGTCGGCAAGCCCAACTTTATACATAAATTCTGAAGTTCGCGTAGTAGTGCAAAAATAGCTTTATTTCTAATACATCTTGTACAATAGTTTTACTCCTTAATCTTTATTTTTTTATGGGTCATTTAGTACGTGCATAAAAATAGTATTGAATATGGTGTATTAGTAATATTAAATTAGCAATACTGGGATTAGTTATGCTGGAATTATTTTTTATAGACTGTTTGATTTGGTATAGTGAAGGTTTTGAAAGTGCAATTCTATCTTTATACATGCTTATCCATGTACTAAAATCTAAGGTATTGCTAATGCCATTGTTTGTGTTACGCGACGCCTTCCTGAGATTCCTTGGAAGGGCGACGTAAGGCTAAGCAACCGATGTCCGTATAGTTACTATCAGCCAACTGAGGTCCTCTCCGTACGCTAGACTAGATTGTCAGTGCCGTACGGGAAAAACAATGTCAATAGTAATTAAGAGAACATAAAAGAAAATTGAGAATGAAAGAAAGCTTGATTGTATTAATGAAAGCTATTACAGAAAAGTAACACGGTGTCGAGGGGGAGAGACACCAGTACAAATAATTGCTTGCTTGCTAGAAAGTTTGATTGCTTGATCCCCCCCTAATTATGCTTAAAAAAAATAAACCAAAGTTATAGGACTTGGCCTAACTAAGCTCAAGTAACATAATGGAAGTACATGAAATAAAACTACTTTATATTTACAATGAAAATGACTTAGTTTTTTATAATGTAGAAACAAGTCCGTTGTGAGCAATTTTGTCTTTGGCATCACGGTCTGCGCGAGCGGCATTGTCTGCGCATGCGTCGCTGTTGGCATCTGCCTGCGGCTGGGTGCTGGCAAGGGCTATTGGTGGGGCAACAGAGACACATATGCACTTGTCACTTGGTGCAGCCAAGACCACGGGGCCGTCTATAGTGCTAGGTGTTGGGAGGCTTGCTAGGACGCCATGGGGCGCATCTAAGGGGTCATGGGGCATGGATAAAAAGCCGCCTATGATATTCTCCCCCACCTGAGTTGGCGACGTCCTCGACGCCTTACTTGCAAGATAATCATCAATTAGGCTCTTGTAGGCTTTGAGGTTTGTTCCCCTCTCCCATGTATTCTCCTCTGCATCACAACCCAGCCATTTCACTAAGAATTCTTAGTGATATTTCCTTGAGGCGTGAATCACTCGATCATCAAGAATAGCTTCAGCACACCTTTTCCCAGTTGAATTGGGGCCTTGAATACTGGGTATTGTGAGTTGGATCAATGAAGGGTCCTCCATGTCTTCCACAAATTGTTTCAGAAGACTGACATGGAAGATAGGATGGATCTTCCAACAAGGTGGGATATCCACCCGGTATGCAACTTTTCTAATGCACTTTTCAATTGACAAGGGTCAAATATATTTTTGCAATAAGCGAGGGTCATGGAGCCCTGCAAACAAGTATCACTTTGGAATTTTGACCATCACTTTGTCTCCTACTTGGTATTCAACAAACCGACGATTTTGATCAGCATGCCTTTTCATCCGCTTTTGGGCTTTGACAAGATATCTCCGCACTATCTCCAAATTTTGCTTCCATTATTTTGAGAAGCTAGCAGCTAGAGGAGATTTTGACATGTTTGGTGTATTCACGGTGTGTGGGAGTAGCGGTTGCTGTCCGGTAATAATTTCAAAATCGCTTTTGTTTGTACTAGAGCTCTTTTGTGAATTGAAACACAGTTGAGCAGCATCCAGAAGCTTCACCCAGTTCTTCTGTGATTCGGTTACAAAGTGGCGGAGATATTCTTCTAGCATGCCATTGAACCGCTCCGTCTGGCCATCAGATTGCGGATGAAAACTTAAGCGGTGACTCAATTTTTACCCAAGGCACTTAAAGAGTTGGGTCCAAAAATTGCTAGTGAAGCGTGAGTCGCAATCACTAACGATGTCTTTAGGCAGGCCCCAATATTTGACGACATGAGAGAAGAAGAGTCGACATGTATCTTCTGCTGATATATATTGTAGGGCTGCTATAAATGTATCATACTTGGAAAACCTATCCACCACAACCAAGATAGTTGTGAGATCTCCGAGTTTGGGCAATCCGGTGATGGAATCCAGAGAAATGCTTTCCCAAGGTCTCTTTGGGACAGGTTGTGGTTCCAAGAGTCCCGCTTGTGTCAAGCGGTCCGACTTGTCCTTCTGACATACTAGACAAGTCTTCATATACTGAGCGACATCATCAAACATTTGAAGTAAATAATATGCGCGGCGAAGTAATGCCATGGTGCGTTCTTCACCGAGATGGCCGACCCACAAAGTATCATGACATTTCGTTAGAAGAGTCCTTCGCAGATCTCGTCCTTTAGGAACATAAAGTCGGTTCCTTTTTACTTTCAGAAATCCATCTTCCAAGTAGAACTGGCGAGTCTTTCCCTGTCCTACCATATCAACCAAATACTGTGCAACAGGATCCTTGATGAGTAGATCTTGTATCTATTTTTTATGGTGGTGGCTACTTCGCTCCCCCTTAGGGTGGCGAGTAGGCACACCGATGCTAAGTCATCCCTACGATGGAGGGGTGGCGATGAACCCCTCCGGGACCTGAGCTGGTCCAATAGGTACAGTCTGAGCTAGAACCTCCTCATCAAAAATTACCTGAGGCTCCAGTGCTGGTGTTGCTGCTCGACGCGACCATGGCCTCGTCCTCTGCCCCTAGTATGAGCTGCCGCCGGGGGCTCTGGCTGCTGTCCAGCTAAAGATGTTGCATGTGTTCTCGCCATATGCGGGAGGACAAGAATATAATAGTTCAATCAACAATGATGGAATAAAAACGCATGACAGAGAAGAATAGAAGAGAAATTTTTTCCTAAACTTCATAGCCTATGGAAGATAAGTATAGACGTCTCCGTACCCATCCTTCATACTCGACTAAGCTTGCTCATGACTCGTGAGACCTAAGTAACCTAGTGCTCTGATACCAACTTGTCACGACCCTGAATTTCCACCTTCGGGGCCGTGATAGTGCCTAACATTTCACTTGCTAGGCAAGCTAACGTTAGAGAGTCTTTAAGCTAATTTTTAATAAATTCAATTAAGTAAAATCCATTAAGCCGAAAAGAAACTAAAATAGAATACAAATGACATACAACCAATAATATCTAAGAACAACCCGAATCTGGAGTCACAAGTTCACGAGCTTCTAGAATCTCTATAAAATAGGGTTTGAAATAAATACAACTATCTCGAATGAAAAGAATAGTAATTAGGGGAAATGGAAGGGGACTTCAAGGTCTGTGGACGCCAACAGATCTATCTCGAGTCTCCAAATGCCAATCCAAGCTGGTACGCCTCACAGACAGCTAGGACTACTACCAAATCTGCACAAGAAGTGCAGAGTATAGTATGAGCACAACCCACCCAATATACTCCATAAGTGTCGAGCCTAACCTCGGCGAGGTAGTGACGAGGCTATGACAGGACACCCACGTACATAAACCTGTACAGATAGAAATATATGTACAACATAACAACAAATAAAGATTAACAAGTACTATTGGGAGGGGACATGCGAAAGGGGTACAAGATACGATAATTACAACAGGGAATGATAATAAGAAATAGTCAATAAACCTTCAACCAACAAAATGAACAAACATAATGAATAAAACTCTACAGCATCACCCTTCGTGCTTTTACTCTCAGTCTCACCATGAAACAATAATAATGGCACGACATCACCCTTCGTGCTTTTACTCTCAGTCTCACCATGAAACAATAATAATGGCACGACATCACCCTTCGTGCTTGTACTCTCAATCTCACCATAAGATGATAAATACGGTACGACATCACCCTTCGTGCTTTTACTCTCAATTTCATCATGAACAACAGATACGACACGACATTACCCTTCGTAAATTAACTCTCAAATATGGTACGGCATCACCCTTCATTCATTAACACTCAAATACGGCATGACATCACCCTTCGTGCATTAACACTCTCTCTTACCATATAACAATGAACATATAACAACAGGGAGATAGAATAAGCAAAATCAGGTCTTATGTCAACAATGGTTCTACAACACTAATCTCTTCTTTAGAAATAATATTCAATTATCACATATAGCCGATAAATGCGAAAAGAATAATCAATTTAGTAATTAACTAGTCTAAGTATGGATATCATAATCAAAGAAAGAAGTAAATGACAAGAAACAAGTCCCACTTGCATGCTTTGACCCAATAACAATGCATAAGTACTCGTCATCTCACATACATGTTGAACCCAACATTTAAACAAGTAGCACATAGCAAACAAGTCCTAATCTCTCAAGTCAAGGTTAGCCACGACACTTACCTCGCTCAAAGACCAACTCAAAGCTCAACCATGGCTTTGCCTTTCGAACAAACCTCCGAACCAACCAAATATAGCAAATAATCAAGCAAACAATTCAAAATAAGCCTTAAGAACTACCCACGAATGAAAAAGGTTCAATTTAGGTCATTATTGAAAAAGTCAACAAAAGTCAACTACCGAGCCCGCTTGGTCCAAACCCAAAATTCAGATAAAAACATGATTACCCATTCACCCCCCGAGCCCGATTATGTATTTAGTTTCAGAATCCGACCTTAATTTGAGGTCTAAATTCCAAGTTTTACAAAAACTCGTAATTCTTCCCAAACCCCCAATTTCCATCATGAAAATCCTAGATTTTAGGTTGAAATCTTATGAAAAGTAATGGAAAAATTGAAAAAGGTAGGTTAGAATCACTTACCAACAAATTGGGGAAGAAAAGTTCTTGGGAGAATCGCCTCTAGGGTTTTCTAGCTTTGGAAATTTGAAGAATGAACAAAAATCCAGTTTTTGGGACCGTTTTAATCACTGGCATCAGGTGTGCATCGCGTTCGCGTGAAACTTGACGCGTTCGCGAAGAGCAAAGCCTCAATGGCTTACGCGATCATGAGTTGATCTATGCATTCATGTAGGCTTAGCCCCCTAGCCTCTGTGTCCACGATCCTTGTATCGCATTCGCATAGAGCAACAGTCAACTCCCAGCCCCCACCTCTATTTCACTACGCGTTCGCGATTGACTGGATGCGTTCGCGAAGAGCAGACCCCCCAATGCTCCGCATTCACGACCAAGGTTTCGCGTTCGTGTAGAACAAAATCTCCCCCAAACCATTTTACCCTTCACAATCGCGGGAGTATATTCGTGACCGCGAAGAAGGAAACACTAGAAACCAGCAGAAGTGAAAAACCAGCAAACATTCTAAGTTCAAAAGGTCCGTAGGCTATCCGAAACTCACCCGAGCCCTCGGGGATCTAAACCAAATATGCACACAAGTCCAAACACCTGATACGAACTCGCTCGCGCGATCAAAACACCAAAATAACACCTAGAATTATAAATCGGACATCAAATCAAATGAAGTTTTTAATGAAATTTTAGAATTTCTATTTCAACAACCGGACGTCTAAATTACGTCAAACCAAATCCGTTTCTCACCAAATTTGACAGACAAGTCATAAATATAGTAATGGATCTATACCGAGTTAAGGAACCAAAATATGGACCCGATATCAGCAAATTCAAACATTTGCAAACATTTAGATTCATTAAGCCTTTAAACTTCAAAATTTTGACAAAAGGAGATAACTCGAGCTAGGGACCATCGAATTCGATTCCGGGCATACGCCCAGGTCCCAAATATGGATCCGGGTCCGTTTTCTCAAAATACTGACCGAAGTCAACTCAAATGGATTTTTAAAGTAAAATTTCATGTTTTATCAACTTTTAACATAAAAGCCTTCCGGAAAAATACCCGGACTATGCACGAAAATCAAGGAAGGCCTAAAGAAGCTATTGAAGTCTTCGTAACACAGAATTAAGGTTTAAAACTCGAGATTACCTATCCGGTCATCACATTCTCCACATTTAAAATAACCGTTCGTCCTTAGACGGACATAGAAAAGTACCTGGACTGGTGAAAAGGTGTGGATATCTACTGCGCATGTCCGAATCGGACTCCCAAGTAGCTGCCTCGATGGACTGTCCTCTCCACTGCACTCGAAATGAAGGATAAATCTTAGACCTTAACTGTCGAACCTGCCGGGCTAGAATAGCCACCGACTCCTCCTCATAAGTCAAATCCTTGTCCAATTGGACTGAGCTGAAGTCTAACACATGGGGCGGATCTCCGTGATACTTCTGAAGCATAGACACATGGAACACTGGATGGACTGCTTATAAACTAGGTGGCAATGCGAGCCTGTAAGCTACCTTACCCACTCTCTCTAGAATCACAAATGGTCCGATGTACCTAGGGCTCAACTTGCCCTTCTTTCCAAACATCATCATACCCTTCATGGGTGAAACCCAAAGTAATACTCTCTCTCCGACCATGAATGCAACATGATGAACTCTACGGTCGGCATAACTCTTCTTTCTAGACTGAGCTGTGCGAAGTCGATCCTGAATAATCTTGACCTTATCCAAGGCATCCTGTACCAAATCTGTACCCAACAACCGAGCCTCCCCAACTCAAACCATCCAACTGGCGGTCGATACCACCTCCCGTATAATGCCTCATAGGGAGCCACCTGAATGCTCGACTGGTAGCTGTTATTGTAGGCAAATTCCGCAAGTGGCAAGAACTGATCCCAAGAACCCCCAAAATCTATAACATAAGCATGGAGCATATCCTCCAATATCTGAATATTTCGCTCGGACTGCCTGCGGTAATCCTCTCTCAAAGTTATAAGAAGAAACTTCTTTAGAAATAGCTTTGAGAACCGCTCCCAAGTAAGTAGGCGACCCAACTAGTCTGGTCAACATGTAAACTCTCCACCACCTCTTGGCAGAACCCGTCATCTGAAATACAGCAAAATCGACCCCATTGGTCTCAACTATACCCATGTTCAGTAGCACCTCATGGTAGCGGTCAAGATAATCATGTGGGACCTCATAAGGTGCACCACTGAAGTGAACTGGGAAAAGCTTTGTGAGCTTGTCCAATCTCAATAAGCCATCAGAAGACATGGCGGGCCTATCACTGGCCTATGCTGCAACAACTAACTTAACTACCCCAACTGGCGGGGCTACTAAAGACTAATATTGGGGAGCCATCTGCTCCGGAGTGTGAGTAGTGGGAGTCTATGCTCCTCCTTCAGCCTGAGAGATGGCTGGTGCCTCAGGAAATGCACCGGCTTGGAACACACTCTTCATAAGGCCCACCAAACGGACTAAAGCGTCCTGAAGCACTGGGGTGGCAATGAACACCTCCGGGACCTGAGCTAGTCCAAAAGGTACAGTCTGAGCTGGAACCTCCTCATCAAAATCTACCTGAGGCTCCACTGCTGGTGCTACTGCTCGAGCTCTAGCCTGAGCTCTGCCTCTGCCTCGGCCTCTAGTGCGAAATCGTCCTCGTCCTCTGCCCCTAGTAGGAGCTGCCACTGGGGGTTTAGGCTGCTGTCCAGCTGAAGATGTTGCACGTGTTCTCGTCATCTGTGAGAGGAAAAGAATAGAAGAGTTCAATCAGCAATGATAGAATTAAACCACACGACAGAGAAGAATAAAAGTGAAATTTGTTCCTAAACTTCATAGCCTCTGGAAGATAAGTACAGACGTCTCCGTACCAATCCTTGAGACTCTAATAAGTTTGCTCATGACTCTGAGACCTAAGTAACCTAGTGATCTGATACCAACTTGTCACGGCCCGGAGCCGTGATAGCGCCTAACATTTCACTTGCTAGGCAAGCTAACATTAGAGGATATTTAAGCTAATTTTTAATCAATTCAATTAAGTAAAATCCATTAAGCCGAAAAGAAACTAAAATGGAATACAAATGACATACAACCAATAATATCTAAGTACAACCCGAATTTGGAGTCACAAGTTTACGAGCTTCTAGAATCTCTGCAAAATAGGGTTTGAAATAAATACAATTGTCTCGAATGAAAAGAACAATATTTAGGTGAAATGGAAGGGGACTTCAAGGTCTGCGGACGCCAGTAGATCTACCTCGAGTCTCCAAATGTCAATACAAGTTTGTACGCCTCACGGACAGCTGGGACCAGTACCAAAATCTGCATAAGAAGTGCAGAGTGTAGTATGAGTACAACCGATCCAATGTACTACGTAAGTGTCTAGCCTAACCTCGACAAGGTAGTGATGAGGCTATGACAGGACACTCACGTAAATAAACCTGTACAGACGGAAATATATGTACAACATAACAACAGATAAATAATTAGCAAGTACTATTGGGAGGGGACATGCGAAAGGGGTACAAGATACGATAACTACAACAGGGAATGATAATAAGAAACAATCAATAAACCTTCAACCAACAAAATGAACAAACATAATAAAACTGCACGACATCTCCCTTTGTGGTTTTACTCTCAGCCTCACCATGAAACAGTAATAATGGCACGACATCACCCTTCGTAAATTAACTCTCAAATACAGCACGACATCGGCATCACCCTTCGTACATTAATCACTCAATTACGGCACGACATCACCCTTCGTGCATTAACAATCTCCCTTACCATGTAACAATGAACATATAACAACATGGAGATAGAATAAGCAAGATCAAGTCTTATGTCAACAATGGTTCCACAACACCAATCTCTTCTTCAAAAATAATATTTAACTATCACAGATAGCCCATAAATGCGGAAAGAATGATCAATTTAGTAATTAACTAGTCTAAGCATGGATATCATGATCAAAGAAAGAAGTAAATGACAAGAAACAAGTCCTACCCGCATGCTTTGACCCAATAATAACGCATAAGTACTCGTCACCTCACATATACGTTGAATCCAACATTTAAACAAGTAGCACATAGAAAACAAGTCTTAATCCCTCAAGTCAAGGTTAACCATGATACTTACCTCACTCCAAAGACCAACTCAAAGCTCAACCATGGCTTTGCCTTTTGAACAAGCCGACGAACTAACCAAATGCAGCAAATTATCAACCAAATGATTCAAAATAAGCCTTAAGAACTACCCATGAATGAAAAAGGTTCAATATAGGTCATTATTGAAATAGTCAACAAAAGTTAACTCCCTGGTCCGCTTGGTCCAAACCCGAAAGTCGGACAAAAACTCGATTACCCATTTACCCCCGAGCCCGATTATGTATTTAGTTTTGGAATCCGACCTCAATTTTAGGTCTAAATTCTAATTTTTGCAATAATCCCTAATTCTTCCGAAATCCCCAATTTTCACCATGAAAATCCTAGATTTTAGGTTGAAATCTTATGAAAAGTAATGGAAAAATTGAAAGAAAGTTGGTTAGAATCACTTACAAACAAATTGGGGAAGAAAGGTTCTTGGGGGAATCACCTCTAGGGTTTTCTAGCTTTGAAAATTTGAAGAATGAACAAAAATCTAGTTTTTGGGATTGTTTTAATCATTGGCGTCAGGTGTACATCGCGTTCGCATGAAACCTGACGCGTTCGCGAAGAGCAAAGCCTCAATGGCTTATGCGATCGTGAGTTAATCTACGTGTTCGCATAGGCTTAGCCACCCTTAGCCTCCGTTCCGTGATCCTTGTATCGCGTTCGCATAGAGCAACAATCAACTCCCAGCCCCCACCTCTATTTCACTACGCGTTCGCGAAGAGCAGGCTGCCCAATGCTCCACGTTCGTGACCAAGGTTTGGCATTCGCGTAGAACAAAATCTCCCCCAACCCAATTTACCCTTCACGATCGCGGGAGTATATTCGCGACCGCGAAGAAGGAAACACCAGAAACCAGCAGAAGTGAAAAACCAACAAACTTTCTAAGTTCAAACGGTCCGTAGGCTATCCGAATCTCACCCGAGCCCTTAGGGATCCACACCAAATATGCACATAAGTCCAAAAACTTATACGAACTCGCTCGCGCGATCAAAATACCAAAATAACACCTAGAATTATGAATCGGACACCAAATCAAATGAAGTTTTTAATGAAATTTTAGAATTTCTATTTTAACAACCGGACGTTCGAATCACGTCAAACCAATTTCGTTTCTCACCAAATGTGACAGACAAGTCATAAATATAGTAATGGACCTATACCGAGTTCCGAAATTGAAATATGGACCCGGTTTCAACAAAGACAAATATTGGTCAAACCTTTAGATTCATTAAGCCTTTAAACTTCAACATTTTGACAAAAAGCGATAACTGGAGCTAGGGACCTCTAAATTTAATTTCGGGCATACGCCAAGGTTTCAAATCATGATACGGACCCACCGGGACCGTCAAAACATGAATCCGTGTCAGTTTGCTCAAAATGTTAGCCGAAGTCAATTCAAATGGAGTTTTAAAGCAAAATTTCATATTTTATCAACTTTCAACATAAAAGCCTTTCGAAAAAACACCCGGACTACGCACTCAAATCAAGGAAGGCCTAAAGAAGCTATTGAAGGCTTCAGAATGTAGAATTAAGGTTTAAAATTCTAGATGACCTATCGGGTTATCACAGCACTGCTCTGCATCCTTCAGCTTCCGACTCTCGTATGCTTCCGGATGCCCTTTTTGTAGCAAGACCCCGCCAAGGGCATAGTCGGAGGCATCCGTTTGTACCTCGAATGACTTTGCCAAATCAGGGAGGGCCAAGATGGGACTACTAGACATAGCCTCTTTTAATAGGTTGGAGGCCTCCGCTAGCCTGGGTCCCCAATCCCAAGGCGTGACCTTTTTTAGGAGTTATTTCAATGGCACTACGATGAAGGAGTAATTTTTCACAAATTTCCGATATAAGTTGCATAGGCCAAGGAATGCCCTCAAGGCATTCATATCCTTAGGTTGCGGCCAATCTGTGATAGCTTGAATCTTTTGCTGGTCTATCTTGATCTGCCCTTCCTCGATGACATGTCCGAGGAAGTCAATCTATTTTTGAGTAAAGGAGCACTTGGGTTGCTTTGCATATAATTCGTGCTGGCGTAGTCGCACTAGGACCTTCCACAAGTGCTCCAGGTGTTCTTCTAGTATTTTGCTATATACCACAATGTCATCCAAGTAGACCACCACGAATTCGTCAATGTACTCTCGGAAGACTTGGTTCATCAGGGTGCAAAATATGGCTGGAGCGTTAGTTAAGCCGAATGGCATAATCAGGAACTCGTACGACCCATATCTTATTACACAGGTAGTCTTGTGTTCATCACCCTCCGCAATCCGAACTTGCCAATAACATGTCTCCAAGTCTATTTTGGTGAACACCGTCGCACCACCCAGCATATCGAACAAGTATACCATTAGCGGAATAAGGTATTTATTCTTCACAATGATTTTGTTTAGAGCCTGATAATCCACACAGAGTCGTAGGCTACCATCATGTTTCTTTTAGAATAGCACAGGGGACCCGTACGGGGATTTGGAGGGCACGATGATACCTGTTTAGATTGTTTGTCAATTGTCTCCGAAGGTCGGTGAGTTCGGGTTGTGACATTTTATAAGTCACCCGGGCGGGTGGATTCGCACGTGGAACCAACTCAATTTCATTGTCCACAGTGAGCCTAGGCGGGAGTCACTTTGGTATATCCTGTGGCATGAAGTCTTCAAACTCCAGTAGCAGCTCCTTCACGGTTGCAGGAATAAGACCCGATGAGCGTTCTATATCTTTAATATAGAGGGTATCCAGGAATGTAGGTTCATGTCTTTTGACCCCCTTCTACAACTGCAAGGCCGAGATGTTCTCAGTGGCCATCTTTATGGGTATGCATGGGATAATGTTAGGCTTGGCCCTGTTTCCTCCCATCATCAGTAGTATGTCGGCATACGGTACATGTATGGTGTTGGTTTGCCTCAGGAATTCCAACCTAACTATCAACTCGAAGTCATCTATGATCACCACGCGCAGGTTGAATTTTCCTTCGTGTGTTTTATCACTTTAGTGTTATTCTTATACATAACAAACAAGACCTAGAAATTTTACCACTTCGCGTGTTTATAATTTCTTGCAAACTCTATTAGAGTTATAATAAAAATTATTGTATTTTCTTATATTTAAAATCAAATTATAGAAGAATTTAAAAGAGAAAAATAAGGTAAAATACTTACCTTAAATCCATAATTTATTTCTGAAGAAAGTTCATGAACAATTGATAATCATTATGCTCAATATTATCTACAAGTTGAGCACCATGTACGTATCCAAAAGCCTGGTGACCAAAGCAGATGACTCTGCTCAATTGGTTAGAGTCTCGTCCTGATAACGTGTTATAAAATAATAAAAGAAGAAGAAGAAGCGTATTGCAGAGAAAAGTATAGAGACATAATTCTTATTGATTTGGGATCAATTACAATGGAATATAATTCTCTATTTATAGGGAAAAAGTGACTTAGCCACCAAGTAAAAAATCCTAAAATCTCTCTAAAATATAAACATTCATCTTAAATACAATTCTATTTATAACACTCCCCCTTGAATGTCTATTCAATAGATAATGTGCTTCGTTAAAACCTTAACTAAAATAAAATCCAGTGGGAAAAAATTCCAGTGAAGGAAAAAGAGTACACATATATCTAACAACACCCCTTTTTGTTGCCTCGTTAAAAATTTTGCAAGGAAAATCCAATGGGACAAAACCCTGTAATGAAAAAATAGTACAACACGTATTAACTCCCCCTGATGAGAACATCAATTCATATCTTTAAGCCTTTGCATTTCAATATTGTGCACTACCTTCAAAAGATCGTTGGTCAATATTCGATAAACAAATCATCTATATTAACTTGAATGAATATGTTGCACCTTGAAATCATCATTTTTGATAGATATGTAATGTCTTCATAAAATGCCGTAGAATGTCCTTTTCAATATCTCCATAGAGGTAAAAATTCTCGCTATCACATTATCATACTTATAGTTATAACAAGATACATATGTACACAAATTGCACCTAGGATGTAGTACATCAAGACCAAGAAATGTATATGCTTTAAGCGACTTAAATCCTTTAGGAATTGTCATATAAGTTAAGACATATAAGTCATATAAATATACTTTAGATGCATATCAAGTTTTTTTGTCATGCTAGACATGTAAGATATATAAAAGTGATTGCACACACCATAGACTTTATACTTTCGAGTGTTTGAACTATATGTCCAAAACTACATGTCTTTTATACGAAACCAATTCTACTTGAATTGTTTCTCCAGATTTAAGATCCTCATATATATATTTAGCGCTATCATAGATGTCATCGACGAACATTTTATATCGGTTTCAACCTCCTCATTTTTCATATAGACATAATATAGAGATCTCTTCATTTCAGGTACCTGAACCTCTCCTGAGGCTTTATAAAATATTATGTCGTGTACTCTTCTAGAGCACTTGCCTCCTTATTATGATCGTTTTCATTATTTGCTCATCTTCTTTATCAAGGATTTTAATTGGTACCGATTTTTCTATCCACTTCAGGTGTACCATAGACTTTATCCTTCTAGGACTTATTCTAATAAGAGCATTTGCTGTGAGAATATAGTTACTTTCTTTGGGACAACAAATGCATCTAGCATGCTTTGCAATATATTATAGATGAATTATCTTTTTGGGAACTTCAAGTTCATATTATCTTCGAGGATCTAGAGGTACAAATAAAATTCATTTCACATAATTTTTCTCAACTATTTATCCTGTCTCCCCCTCATGTTAGAAAAATTAACTTGCTTCCTCAACTTTGAAAATTCACCTTTGTGTGTTATGGTGTTAATCAAAATATATTTCGCACATCAATAATAATAATAATAAGATAAAATTATTTGGTTCCTGACCGTGAACCACTTGTGAGGGGAGAATATAATATACTTTTGTATATAACATATATCAAACTGATATAGATAGCTTTGTTCTCATAAGAAATCATTTAGCTATTAAGTGGAGGAACTCAATAAATTATTTTGCTAAACCTACTGTGATATAAACAACCTTATCAAGATTAACTGTCTTGAGTAGAAAATATGGAAATTATACTCGAAACTAAATTATTGAGCAAGTTACCTCGCAAACACCATGTTGTGGGTTAATAATAATCACACATGTAACCATCTCATGGATGCATCTTATGTGGTCTACATGGCAGGTGAATGGGCCATTTTCACCTTTAATATTTCTAGCATTCATGGGATTCAATCTCAATTTTAGTTGGTCAATTAATTAATGAGAACAAACAATATAAGAGAATTCGTAAAGAACTTTCTAGTTTTTTAATATTTACCCATGTGAATTCTCTTTTATTTGTGCACATCATACTTAAATTAACATGACTAAACTAATTATGCCATCTAGATAAATTATCAATATTATAAAGTTCAGGTTTACACTATGACGTGTGCAATTATCAATAAACTCCAAGTTTATTATGATATGAGTTTTATATCAATAAACTTCTACTTTATTATGGCATTCTTTTATTTATATAGTACAAACTGGAGAATAAAACGGATAGCTTTTTATATACATATTACCCCGCTACAAGTTGTAGTAAAAGAAGATATAATATCTTTCCTTTTATTTTTAGTCTCAATATAACCAACCGCTTTTCCGAATACTTTAGAAACTAAATAAGTTTCTTTGAGACTTATTATGACACAATACCTTATTGATAATCAATTTTATTTTTTCAAAATAGTATAATTGGCTCTTCCGGATCTTTCAATTAATTTTGTACTATCACATATTCATCAATATCTATATGGTGAATATCTCTTTCAAAGAAAAAGTTATACCATTATGGTCATGATGAAAATTATATGTGATGACGATTATAATTTCGTCTATTATCATGTCCACTTCCATTCATACCTCCACAATAATATCATGTCTTATTTTAGACTTATGGGACGGGTTTCCATTATTGGCGGTCATAATCATACATGAATCTAGTCATAACAAGACCTAAACATTTTATCACTTCGCGTGTTTATAATTTCTTGCAAACTCTATTAGAGTTATAATCAAAATTATTGTATTTGCTTGTATTTAAAATCAAATTATAGAAGAATTTTAAAGAGAAAAATAAGGTAAAATACTTACCTTAAATGTAGAATTTATTCCTGAAGAAAGTTCATGAATAATTGACAATCATTATGTTCAATATTATTTACAAGTTGAGCACCATGTACGTATCCCAAAGCCTGGTGACTAAAGCATATGACTCTACTCAATTGGTTAGAGTCTTGTGCTGATAACGTGTTATAAAACAATAAAAGAAGAAGAAGAGTATTGCAGAGAAAAGTAGAGAGACAAAATTCTTATTGATTTGGGATCAATTACAATGGAATAGAACCCTCTATTTATAGGAAAAAAGTGACTTAGCCACCAAGTAACAAACTAAAAAATCTCTCTAAAATATAGACATTCACCTTAAATACAACTCTATTTATAACATTAAGAAACTTCTTATTTATTATCCTTTGTGTGTGTGTGTGTGTGTGTGTGTGAAAACAAAGTGAATATGACAATGGCCACCAATAACAGTCTTTTGCTAAAAATAATAGGGATATTATCACTTTTAGCCAGCGCCAGAAACTATTTACATCTGGTAGCCGAAAAAGTGTATAAAACTTGTATAAATTTTGTATATAATATACATAATGCTTATATATACAAAAAATATATAAATTTTACATATGTTTTTGGCTATTATTTTTATAGCGGTTATACAGTGTCATTTGCTCAAAATAATATTCGGTATAAGCTTTTAATAATAAAATATTAATGGTATATATTTGATATAATATACGTATATAAATAAATTATGTCACGTTATTACTTATATACATATAATATATACAATCAACATTTAGAGTAATATATCATATATATACTTGATGTATAATAGATTTTCCCTTTTACATTTTCACTAATATATAAAATATGTTAGTTTATATGTATATCATATCAAATAAATTATATCTTTAGTATNATATATTTATATTTATATTATATCTATACTATATTAAAAGCATGAAATCCCTTAGTGAAATGTTGTTCACCTTTTTTACCATTTAAAAATAGAGTTCACACTAGATAAAATAATCATTTAATTCTTTTCCTAATATTTAGGACCTAAAAATTCATTGAAATGTGGTTATTATATCTTTCTTTATTTAAACTAGGTACCTAAAGTTTAAGACTTTAAAATTAATTAAAATTTTACTTTAAATAAATATTTAAAAAAGTCAATTTGGAACATTAGTACAAAATTTATAGATGCTCGTCTGAAGTAGCTTATACATGGAAATTG